TATGAGGCTAATTAAGTGCAAAATACTTATTTCACTATTAAGGCTGCACATCTGAAGCCAGGAAATGCAAAAGTTCAGGTTCTGCTGGCACTGTTATTTATGTGCATTTAACTTGTGTAGTGGTGTAATTCCCTTTCTAATCAACAAGTAATTATTCTCAATATTCTCATGATTATCATCCAGCCTCCTGCGTATCCAGAGGCATGGAAGGTTGAACTCCCTGCTCTGCACAAGGCAGCTGGGAGGGGTGGGATGATGGTGCTGAGGGGGATGAAGGGACAGTGGGATTTGGGAGAATGCTGAGGAAGGTGGGCTCAGGGTCAGGTTTATGCCCTGACCAATATTCCAGCCCCTGACAAAGCTGGGGTTCTATTGGCACGATCCCTTACTGTGGCAGCATTTAGCACTTCCTGTCCTGGATCACAGCTGTGTGACACTTGGTACAGGGCAGGAAAAACAATCCTCACCTCCTGAACCCACCCAGCACTGAGACCAAAGGGATCCACTGCCAACTCAGTCCTTTGGTAGCTGGAACCACAACTTTTGCATTTCTCAGCAGCCCTAAACACTGCACTAACACCTCCTGTACTGAACCCACAATGAACACTGAATTTGCCTAATCCAATAACTTCATCCCATACAAATAAAGCAATACTAAGGATTTTTCCAGCTGTATTTTTAGCTGTATTAAATGGCTGTTGGTTCATGTACGTCATTATCTTAGAGCACCCAAGCTGTGTGACAGGAAATGACGTGCACACTCGTGTGCATTTGTTTAGAGCTTCATCCTGCAAACTCTCATGCACATAGGTGCATTTATTCATTCCTTTTTGCAGGAATCAAGTCTATGTATCAAAACCTCTACACTGGGAAAAATGTGGAGACTTAGTTTCTTATCTTATGAACTTCCCTGCTGACAACCTTAAAAAAAATTTACATTTCTGCTTTGTGGTAAAATATACAGATTTAATGCCAAAGATACCACTTTACTTATGCCAATAAACTAACCTGGATCGTGTGGCTTTGTTACCTGAGGGCTGGGGAAGGGGGAACCCACACCTAAATGATACCTGCACCTTGTAGAGTCAACAGCATTTAGAGCTTATCTGAAGCTTCTGTAGCCAAACTGCTTGAGATTGCAATGACTCCATCCCTAACAACGTTCTGACATGCACTCCCATCAGGCTGCTCTGCCTTGATTTTCTGCAGATGCAAACAGAGGTTTTTGCTCGGTGTTTTGTTGTGCTGTGCATTGGGGTGGGGGTTTGAAGTGCTTTCAGGATGGTAAACACTGTTCTTTCTTCTCCCTCCCTCACTGCTCCCTTCCTGGAAGGTTTAGTTTCTTCTCTCGTGATAAGAAACGTATGCAGGCGTCACAGAAAAATGTCCACTTCCAGCAAACTTTTGGAGAATGGTCACATTCAAACAGAGATGATTCCTACATGGAACAAGGACAAGAAGCCCTGCAACACCTGTGACTAAAGCCCTGAGGTGTTTGGTTTGCTGCAGTAGATCCCGACAGTCTCGTAACAAGAAGCTTCTGTAAAGCATCGCGGCAGCTCGTCACTTCTCCTTGCCTTGCACACCTCGGGGGTTATTTCAGACTCTCCAAAAGGGATCCCTCACTGTTCACTTGGTGACTGTTTGCTGCAAACAGGAGCCCAAGCTTTGTAGTTACAGTTGCTGACACCCTGGGACATGGAAGCTTCTAGATGACTTGTTTTGTGCTGAATAACAAGTCTATGATCTTGTTCATGCATTAACTACAGTAACACAAGCTTCTTTAAACCAAAAAAGGACCGGTCCCATTATTAGAAGTTTGTTTGCAGTGTATATCTAGTACAGGGCAAAGACTCTTTTACCCTGTTTGTTAACACTACTGGTTGTTTGCTTTTTATTTCTGTAAGAATTTTTTCAAGAGGGATACGACAGCTGGACGCCCTTGGCGGCAGCCACAGCTCTGCTGTGTCCTGTCAGTGCCGCTGGCATCGGCATCTTGCAGAGTCAGCCCTTGGAAATCCACCTGACAGTGGGAACTGGAGTAGCCTTGAGAGGGACAGTGAGTGTACATTTCCCTTGTGCTTACAGTGCCTAAAGCATGAAGAGACGATGGATGAGGTGAGCGTGCCTTGTGTTCTGCAGTATTAATGGAAAACAATTTGCTTACAGGGAGGAACCCTAACTTTTGAATTCTTTCCCTTCTCACCAGGGACTTCCTCACAGTGTAGCAGGCAGCTGCTGTAAAAGAATTAGATCTTTCCCACAGACAGGTTTTTAATTAAGTCACACTTCAGTTTCCTGTCTAGGTAAAACTGCCCAACTTCAGAGGGAAACACATCCTCAGCTGGCTGACATGAACTATTTTGCTGACCTAGACATGACCCCAACCTTTTCTCTTGACTCAACACTATGTGGGCAGAGCAGATGAACTCTGTGTGAAGCTGCTCCTCTGGTGGTGGCAGATGTCTGGGTAGCACCTGGTACAGGGCTGCACTTGCCAGGACAGCCCAGCAGCCAACCCCAGGGGCTGGGACTGGATCTGCTTTGCAGCTGAGCTGGTGAGACCTCAGGCCTGACCAAGGTTGTCCTTCCAGCACTAAAACCTCCCAGTGTCAGTGCTGAGGACACCCAGTGCCAGTGCAGTCCTCACCTCTGCTCCACACACTCCCCAAGGAGCCTGACCAGGTGAGAGAGGGCTCATGTGTCCATGGCTCTGTGTGAGGACAGGGCTGAGGTGTCTCTGTGGCCTTGGCCCTGGGCTGGGAAGGTCCATGCTGGAGCCCACTGATCATGGGGAGGATCTCGTGCCAGCAGGGCCATGTGCAGCTCAGTGCCGGGGCTGGGGGCTGCTGCTGGCACCACACCCCCAGCTGCTCCACCTGCTCTGTAGTGCCTCTTCTGAGGAGAGGCACCAAGGACAGGAAATACAGCTCAGGCTGGAGCCAAGCTCCAACCACTCCAGGTACTGAGTGTAGGAGGAACTCTCAAAGGACTCCAGAGGGCTTCATGCAGGCCAGTTTTCTTGTTACAGGGTGATTCAAGAGTGGATTTTTAATGTGTGTGAGCAGCAAATGGTTCTTAGCCCATCTGTAGTAAAGCCCTGGCAGTAAAACCTCTCCTTGCAGTGGTGGGCTGTGTGCTGCCCTGCTCCTGGCTGTAACTGCTTCATTCCAACGTGGACCTTCTGTGTGTTCTAGGCAGGGAGAGTGTTTACTGTGCCTCCCTGGGGTCACTGGAGCTCGGGGCAGGGGGCATGTGTGGCCTTATATGGGACATGGTGATCAGAGTCCAGCGTGGGTATGGGGTAGATGTGTTTTTGCCTGGTTATGTTTTGGTAACGTCTTTAAAACAGCAGCACTTCTTCCCTCCTCTGAAAAGCAACTCTTAAATGGGGGGAATGTCTTAATGTAATGATATTTAAATTGCCAAGATCTGACTTCACTTCACACATATAAGAAAACAAAAAGTGCAGAAGAGCTACATCAGGCAGTTAAATTGTGGATGAGCCCATGGAGTCTGTCCCGAGCGCCGTTCAGTCGTGTGGCTCTTTCAGAAGGGATGCAGTGAGCAGAAACAATGCAGGAACGTGGGCCTGAGTAAGCAGATCCCTTTGGAAATCAGCTGAGAGCAATGGGCTGGGATAATGGAGCTGCACAGATCCAACCTCAGCCAGTGCAGCACAAAGGAAATCTCCAGGCCTGGTGCACGTCCACTGGAGCCTGGGGCTGTGTCAGACCAGCTCTGCAGCCAACACCAACTGCAGGAGGCAGGAATCCATCCCCACATGTCTGCAGCATTACCTCAAGCCCTCAGAGCTCCTCCTGACCTGCTGGCATTAACCACTCGTTCTCATGTTTGCAATAATGCTGCATTCACACACCCCAAGTGCCGTCGGGAAGGATGGCACAGAGGGAAGCGTTTATAAAGATCTGAAGATCTGTCGTGTATTGTTTGTCAATATTCAAGGAAAATCTGCTTTTAGAAAAGGGGCCAGGATGCTGGCAGGTTAGGGGTGTAACAATCCTGCCTGCCAAGTGCAGGATCACTGACATTTTTTGGGTTGGTTTATTTTTTTTTTTTTTGGTTGGGCAATAAATCATTTTAACAGTTTAATAAATATTTCTGAAAAACATGCATTTCTGCAAGACTTGTGTCTTTTTTTTTTTTTTTTTTGTGGAAAGTAACACCATCCATTCTTGGGGATGGATTTTTTTTTATTTAATGCAGCTTATGGATCTGTCTTTGTACAACTTCATGGAAATACAGCCTCAAACCAGACAAGGTTTAGGACAGAGCCATTCGAAGACTGATGAAATACAATTTAAAATACATTCTATATTTAGGGATGGCTTATGATGACAAAGACCATGACAGAGCCTTTCCTAGAAAGTACTGTAATCTCCTTAATGGAAGAGGTGTGTCTATATTTACACATCCTAGCCCTGAAAAAGATGTTTTGCCCTTTTTCCCCCATTCAGCTACAACCAGCAGCAAGCCCAGTTTCCAGAATGGATTTAAACCCTGTGTAGAAGGGTGAGGACAGAGTGAGTGCAGCTGCAACCACATTTACCCATGACACCCTCCCTCAGTGACTGTCCATGGATTCATCAGGAACATGAGGCATTTTCTGACGTGCTTACTGTCCCGTGGTGCACATTCCTCTGTACAAAGGAGCTTCATCCTCCCATGTCACAGACAGTGGGTTGGTTCCATGTTTCTCTCTCACCTGGCAGAACCAGTTAAGGACACAGTATCAATAAAGGTCTTGCCTGTCCCAGTGTCTTCACAAAAATGAAGCCACTTCCCATCAGGTTCTGTTTTGGGGCACAGAAGTTTGCTGCTATTCCATTCCTGTGTCTCCAGCACAGGACTGTTTCATAACAAACATGTGGACATCTGGCACATGGATAACTCCTCATTCAGGCAGCCAAAGGTGTGTGCTCATCTCAGTGGGATGCCTGTACACATACACACGGTGCATTTCTTACAGCACTCACCAGTTCAAAAACATTAATACAAAAGTTTATTTTCTAAAGAACAATTCAACACACATGTGAACTGCAGTAGGAACCAAACTACAGAGAGCTGCTGACAGTAGAGTCACAGGCACAAGGTGGCAACACCACAGCTTGTTCTGGGAATGCTATCACAGCCCCGGGCTGCCACCAGGGTAGGTGACACACCCCAAGGACAAGGCACGGTCACCTATCGGTGCTTATCATCATCTCTTTGCTTCTTGGTATCTCTGTCCCTGCTCCGGTCTCTATCCCTGTCCTTCCTGTCTCTGTCCTTCCTTTCCCTCCCCCTGCTCCTCTCCTCTCTGGAGTCTCTGTCTCTCTCACTGTCACCCCAAGCCCACGACCTCTCCCTTTCTGGCCAGCGTTTGTCCCTGCTCCTCTCGTGGTCCCGGTCCCTCGTTCTCCAGTCCCTTGTTCCCTCACGAGACCAGTTTCTTTTTTCTGATGATCCTTCTCCATAGAAATCATTTTTCACGTTTGGCAAATTGATGGGCTTTCGGAAAGGTCTGTCCCGTCCTCCGAACCGCAGCTGCCCGGATTCTTTTTTGCCTCCAAACCCACCCCCAAGCCTCCGGGGAATCCATCCTTTGAGAGTTCTTTCCAGTTCAAAGTCTACAAAGATCTCATGCTGGTCGATGACCAGCCTGTTGGCATCTCTGTGGGCCTTCAGCAGCGCACGCTCCTCTTTGTACTCAATGAACGCATAACCCTTGGAAAATCCCGTGACCAGGTCTCGAACCAGACGGATCTTTCTGATGTCTCCATAGCGGGAAAAAACCTCCTTTAACTTCTCTTCTGTGGTCTGAAGGTTGAGCCTCGCCACGAAGAGGGTGAGGTGAGGATCTCCCGTGACGCCCTTGTTGGGTACGTACCGTGCCAGCATCGCCCGCCATATGGCCCGGTCGTGGGGCTCCTCGTCCGTGCCATCGATGCTGCCCGCCTTGAGGGGGTCGTACTCCTTCGCTATGGGGGCCCAGTCAGCCATCGTCTAGTGGAGGAGAACACACACGGCACAGACTCACGGCTGGGTCAGAACAGCCTGGGCAAGAATCGCTTCCAGCACCGCTGCACTGTGTTCATCCGAAAATCCCCCCAAAGTGTGACACACGAAAATGAACCAGCCGTGTCGCTGTTGTTTGAGTGCACATGCCGGGACAGAGCCGTGTCCGGGAGCCGCATCCTCCCCTGGCCTACCCGGGCCTGAGGGGCCCCGGCCGAGGAGGCCCCTCAGCCCCGCTCCCGGCGGGCACGCGGCTCTCCCGGCGGGCAGGGGCCGATCCGCCGGCCCGGAGGATCCTCAGCCGCTCCCGCCGGGGTCGATCTCAGCCCCTTTCCCCGCTCCCGGAGCCCACCAGTCCCCCCGCCCCGCTCCCCGAGCCGCCGAGGCGGACGTGGCGCTGCGGAAAGGCCGATGCGTTCACCCGCCTCAGTGCCGGTTCCCGGGGCTGCCGGAGAGCCCCCCCGTCCCTTACCGGCAGCGGAGCGCGGGCGGTGCCTCCTTAGGGGAAGGGGCAGGGCGGGAAGCGGCGCGGGGCCGCGGCCGCCGCCATGGGAGCGCCGGGGGCGGGAGGGGCCGCTCCGCCCGCGGCCTCGCCGGCAGCGCCGCTCGGCCCGGCTGGGAGGGAAGGAGGGAGGGAGCGCCGGGGTGCGGCGGGCATGGAGCGGGGCCGGGACGGGGAGGAGGAGCTGGAGGAGGAGGAGGAGGAGGATGAGGATGAGGAGGAGGATGGCGGCCCGGAGAGCGCTCTGGAGAAGAGCCCGTTCCAACTGACGGCCGCGGATGTCTACGACATCTCCTCCGTGGTGGGCCGGGACCTGCTGCAGCTCCGCGCCGGGCCGCAGCTGCCCGCCGCCCGCGCCCGGCTGCAGTTCAGGATCGTCCGGGTGCTGGAGATGCTGGAGGCGCTGGTGAGCGAGAGCAGCGTGGCCGAGGAGCAGCTGCGGCGGGAACGGGACAGCCTCCGGCGGGAGCTCGAGCAGCTGCGGGCGGCGGCCCGCGGGAGCGCCCCGCAGGTGGGTGCGGGACTCGGCCGGGGCACGGGGGACACGGCCGGGGCACACGGGACACGGGCCCCTTCCCCAGCACGGGCACACCACGCCTGGGTCGCAGAACGCACCCAGAACCACACCAGATGGGCCGGCCGATGCGTGAGGTCTCTTTTGTGTCAACAGGACGAGTCTCACAAAGTCACTTCCCGTCTTTGGCCATGAAAGCCTTGAAGCTCTTTCCTTCGGGGGTGGTTAGGATCGCAATGCTGTGGATTCCTCGCTCCAGTTTCACTGCAGTGGCTGACCCAGCAAAGTTGGGTCAGTCACGCACAAAGTTCAGAGTACAAACCCACCGTGTTCAGCTCTTGCACAGCACCGGCCCCATAGAGACAACTGTATGCAAACACTGAGGCTTTGTTACCCCTTGTAAGGGAAATAGATGTCTTGATTACTACAAAGGTTTTAATCAAAAAAGGCGAGTTCAGGTCTCACCTTTCTTTGACACGGAATTTTGGTGTGGCATTAGATGGCTCAGCCTAACTCATCATCTGAGAACAATCTGATAAAAGCATCTTCTTGACAACTAAATTGCAAGCTCTTCGGAACAGAGACTTTGTTTTTAACTGTGGTCAGAGCTTGTCACAGTTGTGGCCTATACTTGGTTGGGGAACACAGTCACTAAGGGAATACAAAAATATGAAGAACTATAATTAACTGCTTGGGGAAAAAAAAATCAGGATTGTGATGAATTCATACCAGTTCTAAAAATTCCATATTTATAAAATCCAGATATTTTACTCTCTGAATGCTGCGTTTTTTGAGAGGTTACAAGATCCACCACTGTTTATTTTACAGCCCAGCCTCGGACCAGATCAAATGGTGATAGACCTCACAGACCCCAACCGGCCCCGGTTCACGTTACAGGAGCTCCGAGATGTATTGCAAGAGAGGAACCAGCTGAAAGCTCAGCTTCTGGTGGTGCAAGAGGAGCTACAGTGCTATAAGAGGTAAAGCTTGAAGTCAGCAGAGAACTAATAACAAGTACTTCATGAAGCTTCTCAGTTGAGAGTCTTGAAGGTTTGAGTCCCTAGGTCAGGATAGGCATTGTCCAGATATGTAAGTGACCCCTGTGCTCCCCAGAGCATACAAGTGAGCAAAGAAAAATGGGGGAACAATGAAGTCTCTATGCAACACGATTTGAAAACCAAACTCCCTTTTCCTCTGCACAGTTCTCAGCCCATTCCCATCATTGTCCCACTCTCAGCCTACGCAGTTACTCCCACTCCACATCCAGGCTGGGTTCTCGTGCACAGGAATTCATCTGTGCAGTCACAGCGGCTGCACACACACTGTGTCTAAAGCCACACTACATACCAAAGAGCACGGGGGGTTTCCAGCTCAGCTTCAGTCAGACTTTCCTTCCTCCTGCAGCACAACGCTGGTTGATCTCCGGTCCTTCACTCCCACGGGGGTGTGGCACTGATCTAGAAACAGAATATTGAGCTCTTTCATCATTCATGATAAGCTGTGGGGTTTTTAAGACTGCCAACAGAGGGTTCTGTAAGGCCCTTGAACTTGTGCAAAGCAAGTGATTTCAGAGAAGGGTTTGGTCTTTCCTGAAGGGAGAGTCGGTGTGGGATGTGGGAAGGGTCTTGATCTTGGTGCTACAAATTCATTCACCCCAAAGGTTCTCCTTCCCAACCTCTGCCCCCTTTCATCAGGTTGGATTATAAACTCTTTGGGTCAAGAAATTTCTTCTCTATCTAGACACAAACTGTCTGAGCACATTAGATTTCAGTTGGGATATCTCAGCAGCACCCTCCTGGATACAGCGAGCCCACCCTTTGCCTTGTCTGTACCAGGCAGGTTAAGCCAAGAAGTTACACTTAAATCCAAGAATTTACAAACTGCCTGACAGCACTTCCCCAGCTCAGCTGGCTGCTTTGCTGTGTAGCAGTGGAATGGCTTCTTGCTTTGATTTCCCAGCTGTTACACAGTTTAGTACAGGCCAGGTTAAAAATGTAACAGTGGGAATGTTTTCAGGTTTTTAGTGATCTGAGTCACAGTGCTGTGCACCAAGAACAGGGCAGGGCTGATTTTCAGGTCGAGTAATTTGTGAGGTTATCTCCTCATACAGTGTTACAGCTTAAGCCAAAACCCATTTTTCGTCTAAACAGTCACATAAAATCCTAATTGTAATTGTAGTAAAGAGTAATTGTGCAGGAGAAGAGAATAAATCTGTTCTAAAATGCTTTGTACACATTGGAAATAAGCTCTGCATAACACAAGGTAACAAACATCTCAGAGACTGGCTCAAAGTGACTGATGGTGTTTGGAGGCTGCATTTTTCATCATGATTTCTGGGTAGAAGTTACTATGCAGGTGTTGGAGCTCTGCAGTGTCACCCAACAGCTCATTGTCTCATTTATCCAAGAGGAGAGTCTGCCTCAGAATTACCCCGTGCCTGGTGTCACACCAGTTTTTAACTGCTCTGTGTTTTTAGTTCCGAATCCAGTTGAGTGTTGCTTGGCCACTCTTTGCCTGCAGCTACTGCATCACAGGCTTTGATCCACTGAGCTCTCCAAATGCCTGAGGTCAGCTCGGGACATGCTGTGAAAACACTGAGTGTGCAGGCTGGGAAAATCTCACCCTGTTCCAGGCAGGGAAAACACCCTTTGGTCAAACCGAAACTGCTGCCTGGAGTAGGCGGTTACAGCCTCTGGAGTGTAGAAACACCAAAGTGAGATGGCAAAATCTGGAGCTGAGGCAAAGCCTTTCTTCTCTCCTCTGTAGGGTGGAAAGAGGAACAGGCACCTGCCTTGCAGGGGAGCTGGGAATCTCCCATCTGTTCCCAGGCCTGGTGTGAGCCTGGGTGGCTGCGCTGGAGGTACCACACATCCACCCCTGCAGAAATTCCTCATTTGTGTCTGCACTGTCCTCTCACCCTTGGACTTCTGCACAAACCCAAGTGTGATTACACTTCCCTTTCACCCCCATTATGATTTGCCATTTTTTTTCTCTGTGGAGAAGTCAGCTTGTTATCTTTTTAGTGTTCTCATTAAAGCATAACCCTGGCACCATTACATTGCTGTATTTAGAGATAATAATTCATTGTTTTCAGTTCAGTAGAAGGAAGAGGCTGGGCTGCCACCCCTGTCCTCTGAACATTCATTCACCCATGTCCAGTGAGAGGTCCAACTCATGCACTGTCACACTGCACAAAAAATAAACAAACCCACAAAAAATAAACAAAACCATCTCTTTTCCCAGTGGGATCATCTCACAGAAAAAGGACCAAACTGAAGAACTGGAAAAAGCAGCCAGTGGCAGCAGTGCTGGCACCAGAAAGGACAGTGAAGAGAAGACAATCATCAAACGGTTGTAAGTTTGTCTGCAGCTTTTGGGGCAGAAGTTGTGAGAACATGGCCCACCCCTTACACAGTGAATCCAGGGGTGGATGCTGAACTTTAGCCTAGTTGGCTGGATATTGTTTTCTGCTCTCCATGTAAAGTTAAAAACCTGATAAAGCAATCTCTTCCTGGGGAAAAAGCACTGCACAGGAAAGCCACCTCCACCCAGGCAAGCAGGGAGTCACTTTTTTCCTAGGAAACACAAGATTCCTGAGCAAAATGATTCAACACTTGCCTCCCCTGCCAGCCCCTCAGGGCTGTGCTGTGGGAGCACCCCAGCTGGCCCCAGGCTTTGTTTACATTGTACACAAAACCCACAAGCTCAGGGTCTGTCTCTAAAGTCCCCCAAAATAGCACATGGACAGGGCCAGCCCCCTGCCTGTTCCTTGTTTTCCAGTTGTACATTATTGTTTTCTCTCTGCTATTGATTTTTCTCTTCTTTTAGGTTTTCTTTTAAACATGGAAAATGAGCATCCTCAAGGACTTTGCTGCTGGTGAGAATGGCACTGATGAGCCTCAGAGGCGTTGGGAAAGACAATGATTGGAAGCAGCAGCATCACTCCTACTGTAGAGAATGAGCGATCTCATTAAAATCACGTTGTATAATATTCTTTCAGAATAGATTTTACTCTGCTTTTTCAGAAATTGTTTGAAACAGACACTTTTTGTATTTCTTGCTGTCCGACATTATCCACATGTAGAAAATAAAACGTTTGTATAAAGTTGGGGTTTATTCTTATTAAAAGAGCCTGTGATGATCTGTACTACAGCATACTTATCCTGTCCAGCTATCAAAACATTCAGCTCAAAGGATTTTGTAAGATGAAGATAATAGAGACCTGCCATTCACAAGTGGTTGTTTGGGGGTGAGATGAACAGTGGAGGAAAGCACAGCAAAGCAAGAAAAGCTGCTGCAATTGGGCTCTGCCCACGTGAAGGGCTGAGGTGCAGGAACAGATGCAGCAAACATTTCATTTCTGACAGCTGAAGGTCTCCTGTGGTAGGGAGCTGTGTTTTGCATAAGCTCTGTTCTTTCAATCACCTGCCACAAGCTGTGTATTGGCCCCAGTAATGAGATTTAGCACCAGTGGAAGCATACAGGGCAAACAGAGGAGTGGGGAAAGAAGCTTGAAAGACACCAATTAGGTTCTCCATTTAGAAAGGTAGAATATCCAGAGCAGAAGTCTGAACAGACATAAAAGAAGCAGTGACAGGTATCAAACTGTGATCTTACTCTCTTCAGAAATAAAAGCAGGCTCTGAAGTCTTTTGATTCCCTCTCCTACTCTGGCAGCATGAAAAATGTAGGGCACTTCACACATCTGCTCAGCTGCACGATGGGGATGTGCTGGGCAGAGGCAGAGCTGCAGCCTCCCTCCAGAGGCCAGGAACAAATGTCTGGTAGCAAGGCCACACCACAGGTGGCTGCCCTGAGCCAGCTGCTTCAGCCAGGGCACACAACCACTGGAGTCCTTTTGCCATCTTCAAAATATCAATAAGCCTTGGCCATGCCCTCATTGTGCATTTTCTAGAGCACGGCAACAGGGAAGGCAGTTACTGCAGGGCCTGAGCAGAGGCTTTGTGCACAGAAAACTGAAACAAAGCAACAATCAATCAGCAACAGCCAGGATGCACCTCTGAGCTGGAGACAGATGCTGACAAGTGATCTGAATTCCATCCTCTTCCATGGTTTATCCAGGGATGTATTTTCCAATCTCCTTCAAAAAAAGCAGTTTAGCTCCCAACCCAAGGGTGTCTTTCCCTGTGACACCTTGTTAGAGGATGAAGCCTTCCTGTGAGGCACAGAGATAAGCACCCAAATGACACATTCCTGAGAGAAGTACACTGAGATAGATCTCCAGATCTCTGTATGTGTTCCTAGAAAAGTAAAGGATACAGATGCAGTGCAACATGAGCTTTATTTCCATCCTCCAACGCAGTGCTACTCAATTACCAGTTAAGCTTTCAGAGAAGACATTTTCTTTTTATGTAAAACAAGGGAGATCTTTCCCCTTTCTTGTTTACAAAAGTGATGCTGAAGTACAGAGGTTTTAAGCTATTCAACCTGATAGAGAACACAAAAATGTTTAAATAAAATAAAAAAAATTTATTCCAATTTTGACTTAAGGGAAGTGCTCTAGTTTTAACAGGACACTGTACACATTGCTGAGGTCTCTGTTATTGAGACCAGAGAAAAATCAGTGCCAACTCAGACAAGTTGGCCAAGGAGGCTTACCTGAAACTCAGTACATGTAATGTAACAGGTCTCCAGTTAATTCTTCAGAAATGGGAAAATACCCAGGCTTCCTCTGACGAGTTTGCCTTGTGTGAAGCAGTAAATAATATAAAGCATTTAATAGCTAATGATTTTCACAGCTTTCTTTCAAAATGCTCATAAAACTGCAATGGAGACAGGTAGTATAGCAGCCGTTTCATCAATAATAAATATATTCTTTATTTTACAGAGACATTGTCTTCAAGTTTTTAATTAAAAAAATACATCACTAAGCCACCTCTCTTGCTGCTGGAGCACACAACCAGGATGTTGTTGCTATCTGACCTATCACATAGGCAAGCATAAGATTGTCTAGAGGGCATTCAGCTGGAACAGCAGCAGCCTTCAAGACATGAGGAATAGAAGACATTAACAGAGCCACAGATCCCTTGCTGACATCTTCCAGCAGCAAGCGTGGCTGATGGCTCACAGCCATTTTCATCTACACACATGCCAAGCCTGCCTTGGCAAAAATTCCAACTGGTAAGAATTCCTCTTTAACATAAAGGACCTGCATTGTATTGCCTGCCTATATCCCAGATTTGGCTCTCCAACAGAAACATCCAAACATCCACGAGATGCCAAGCGCTCGACTCCCATGTGAGACAGTGGGACCAGACTGTGCTGGACAGACCTACAGGACCAGGCAATAAGGAATCTGCTTTCTTCACTGCATGAACTCCATCACTACAGTTTGAAGCTGCATATGAAGATGACTCCTATTTTTGGAACCACTATGCTCTACTTCAAGCATTCACAGTAAATAAATAGCTTCTGATGTGGCTAATTAGCATAGGAAGGTAATATAAAAAACTTTTGGAGAGTTTTTACTTCTTTAAAATCCTCTGGGAGACACCTCCAAGAATCAGCCATCGACTATAAAAAAGGTACCTTCTCAAAGTTTAGAAAATAAGTAAATGTCAAACATTAATTCTCACTGTAAAGTTCTATCTTCACAGCTGTAATCAGTATCAACCCAGTCTATCAAAATTTATCCTCATTTGGCTGGGAGTAATTTCTCCAAAGGAAGCAGTCAATCTGACCATCCTTTTCCCTCAGTGCCAGTGCATTTGAAGTTCACTGCCAACAGAATGTATGACACAGGAGAAAGTGGATTCCTACCACAAATTATTTGAGAATGACAGTACATCCATCCCAGAGAAGCCTGTCAGCACTGGGCTGTGCAAAGCAGTCTAACAGGCAGTCAAGCCACTGGATGACCAAGTCAGAGTACAGCAGTACTTCTGTCATAAAGCCAAGCTCAGCACCCCAGAGTGGGGCGTGAGATTTCCTTGCAAAAGCAGAAGCACAACCCCAGTGATTAAATTTCTGTGCAAGTCTTTCCCTGCTCAAGTGCCACTGGTCACTACGCAGAAGCATTCGAATTTTAAGGAGGGTTTTCCTTTTATGATATAAAAGTTTTGGCAATCTAAGGTCAATTATTCAAGCCTGCCTGGAAAACTGTAATAGGTATTTAAATACTGCAAAGCAAAAAGGCAGTTTTTAAGGAGCTCGGAAGACCATAAGCCATCCACTAAGAAAGCTGAGGGAAGTGAGGGCAGAAAAAAAAATAAAAATGCACTGACTCCTTGTAGAACACTCAGTCCAAAAATAAAAACCCCAAAACAAGGAAGATGAATTAGTGTTTCAGCCACGGGTGAGCTTCAATGGAAGCTTTGCTTCTGTCTCCATAGTCGTACAAGAGTTCTTCACCTGCATTAATGTCCCTGGAAGCAATGAGGATGAGATGAGGCACACCATCGATGTCGTGGAGCTTGGTCTGACAATTGCCACACTTGCTGTGATTAATGAGCCTTCCCAGACGATTCGTTTCTTTCGTAGCATCGACACTGAAAGAGCAAGAACAGAACGTGGGATTGTGCCTGGGACAGGGGCAGCTGGGAGCAAAACCCAAAGTGCAAATCACACAAAGAAGGAGGAACCCACGTGAGTCTTGAAAAATGAAGGAGAAACAGAATATTATCATGTTACATTAGAGAACAGCCATGATTAAATAGGCAGCCATAATATGGCAAGGCAGGGAAACTAAAACAATTCCGGGAGATTTTTAAGTTAGTACAAAACCCAGAAAATGAAATCTTTGGGCTGTTTGAGCTGCCTGTTTCCAGGAATAGCAGAATCCAGATGTGAAAAAAATTATAAAGCTTGGACTGAAGTGGGTGTCAGAGACTAGAGCAACAAGGACACCAAGTCAAAGTTGAAAGAAACATTTCCAGGGAGTCAGTCCATCCTGCTTTCCAAACCAGCTCCTCACAACTCAGATAAAAGAGTCCATTCTACAAGAGGATAAATTTAGGCAGAAGACCACTGCAGAACTCCAAGCCTCATCCAAGCAGAGCAGCTCTCCACATAGCTTGTGCTGTACTTCAAAGAAGAGGGCTTTGAGTCACTACCACTCCTCATAGCCCACATGTACAGGAGGCTCTCAGACCATGGAACAGTGCTCCAAAAGATTTCATAATTCACAGTCCCCATTAAAAACAAAAAATTTGCATGAAAACAGGAAAAGAATTAGCAGCATTCAAAGCCTCTATCAATAGAAACTTGAGCTTACCAGTAGGTTTTGCTGAGGTACTGGAAATAGTACATGTAGCAGCCTGTGGATGGGTCTTGAGCATACACAGCCTCTCGTTTCTTGGCATCAGTGATCTCGATGAGATCCCCGTGATACTCAACCACAAATTCTCCTCGATTAAAATGTTTAGTAGCAATTACTCCTCTCCCTTTGCCATCAATATAATCAATCTGTTGAGTTGAAAAGAAAATACTTTCTCATTTCCCAGGTGATTTACATCATTGCAGATATGCTGATTACTAGGAAATGATTTGTCATTAAAAAACTGCTGCAAAAGGGAATTGAATTGGTGTGTACTGCAGACAAAGCTGTAGAAGCACAATGTGTGGCACTGTGGAAGAAATGCAGGATGAGTTTGGGACACACTCTGAGTTACTGAGTAGCTGGACACAAAATCTTCCAATCAAAGAACTTAGGAGTGCATTTCTGTAAAGACCTTATAGCCCCCTCAGTATTTATAACTGAGGCTGCACAGAAATATCCTTCAGAGACCAACAATGCTCACTTAAAGGAAGGACTGTGTGTTCCAGTTTTCCTGCATTTTCAGAGAATTGCAGGGTCCTGAGACTGAGTTCTGCTACTGTCTGTTTAAATAGATTAACATCAAGATACTGTGTAATAAACAGTACATGACTACTTAGGTTGGCACTGCAGTTACCTTCATTCCTTCTTCCTTCCCACTTGTAATCAGCTCATCTATTTTCCTCCTTTCCTCAGTCTGCAGAATAAACAAGAACAAACAAAACCACAATATTGTTGATAGTTTTTGTAGCTTCTTCTAGAGCTGGAAGGAAATTACCCACCAGTGACACTCATTGTTCCAAACCCACCTCATATTTCCAGCAAACTGAA